GCTGATTTAATGCCATTTCTGGTAGTAACAAAAATACAGTATGACTCTCAATTAAAACGTACAGCTCTAAAAAATATGAAGAATTATATGAGACTACATACCAAAAACAGATGAGACTTATTCTTTATATTATCTCTTTCCTCAACTTTCTGAAGCTTAACCTTGATAACTCTTACTATCTCCTAGAAAAGAATTTCTAAGCTCCACTGAGAGCTCATTGCCACCTGTAGTTCTTAAAGATATGCACACCCATATACAGAGACACGGGTGGGTCCTGATCTTTCCACTTCTATTATGCCATTCTATCCAGAACACGGCAGAAGAGACAGCAAGCTATAGACACCTCTGAAGTAAGAACAGTGGTTTCATAGTACATCTTTCCTAGCTAACTGAAAAGTTATGAGAATTTCCTTTTGAATATTTGACAAGCAAAGGAAGCTAATTTTGATAATGTCTGAAGAATTCCTATTTCAAAGAGTTCATTAGGAACTATGTAAAATGAAGTTTTCTATTAAAATATTTTATATAAGCTATTATGCAGATATACAAATTCAATGTAATCTAATTTTAGCAATGAAGAGTTTGGCAATTTACAATAAATACCTTTATTAAGTAATTATGTATACTAGCTACTGGTGGAAATGTGCTTGTTTGCTTACCTGAAGATAATTACACTGATCATCATCAGTAGAACATAAACTTTTATGGTATTCCTCCAAGAATGGAAACTGATTATCTTTGCTTCTTTCTTTGCCATCTTGCCCAACTCCAAACACACATACACGAATGCATGCATGCTAGTGTACACACACACACACACAGAGTAGGTAAGTAAGCTACAGTATTACTAAAAACGTTTGTTTAAAAGTAAGGATTAGAATTCATTTCCCACGGATTTCTTGCTCATTGTCCTAAGTCTTATGGCCTCAACATTTGTAAATCATTTAAATGGCCTCTTTATGGCAAAAATAACCACTATAAATCTGTTATAAAAATGATAATTGAGCCATGCTATACAAACAATTTGGTACCAATGTGGTTGAAAATCAGGTAATCTAAAAAACAATTTTCTAAGTCCCTTTAGAATTAGAATAACTCTTTCTATGCTTTGTCTAGTGGAGATATTAGACTGTGTCGTGTCAAAGGCAAACGATATGTAACTCTCCTAATATATAGAAAAGAAAAAAAAAAGAGGTAGAAAAGGGTAGGAAGAGGAAGGAGGCATTAAGGGCCAATATGTAGCTTAAGGCCAAATGAACTCTTGAAGCCTAATGATTTTGGAAAAATCATTTTGGTGGGTAAATTGAATTATTACTGATATACAACAAAGTTAAGGCATACACAGAAAAAGGCACTACTAAAAGTTTCATTAACATTTAACCAATCTTAAAATTCAAATAAATATGACCATTACATTTGTAACCAAGGCCACACTTATTGAAATAAAACAATATGGTCTCAAGAAATTGTCCTAATTAGCATAAGTAACACAGTGGACCGAGTTCAATTTCTAACAAATATTCTGGGGGGCTTAACAATTTAGACCACAAAGTTTTTTTGTTTTTTTTTCTTTAAAACAAACAGTGGGAAAGTACTGTGTTATGGAATAAATGCTCCCCATCACTGGAACTGTTTGGCCAGTTTGAATATTTTAAGAGGGGTTCCTGAGAAAAAGACATCCTGACTTCCAATTTGAGGAGACTTTGACTTTAATCCCTGGTATTAGTTACAGTTCCATTTCTAACAGCCAATGATTGCCCCAAATTGCTTTTTCCCCTCACTTCATAAAAAAGTCATAAATTTTAAAAACATCACTGTGGAACTTTCAGAATTAAAAGTATGCCATAAAATAAATAAACGTTTGTCCACATTTCTTCCCAAACTGTAATCAACTATAACCTCCTTAAGGATAAATTAATTTGGTATCTGGCACAAATAAGTCAAAATTACTGAATTAGAAAATAAAATGTCACCCTGTTTTGTTTTTAATGGATAGATTCCTATACTTGATTGACACTGGTGATTTTTATAGAAAACTTTTGGTTCCCAGATGCCAAATGAAAACATTGGCACAAAATTCTGCTATGGACCAAGCAAAAATTCACATCTGGCAAATATCTTGGGGTTTGCATTCAAACTTGGTTATCCCTCTAAACTATTAATATTTGGCTTTGTTTTCTTAATGTGATTTGCATTTATAAAACTACATTTCAGAATTTATAAATAAAGTGAAATCTCAGAAACACTGCAGATCAGTATTGACAGCTGGAGTAACAGAGAGCTCCTCAAAACAAATAATATTGCTTTCTCACGTAGTCGCTACAGAGAAGAAAGTAAAAACTCTCTCAAGTGAAAGTCAATCCAATTTACTCAGAAATCAAAATTTACATTATTTTGTATAGTTCAGCATGTGCATTGATATTTCAATCCCTTATATACATGATAAAGGTTTACTGACTGCCTCTTAAAACTTCTAAAGTAATTGTCTTTGAACATTTTTAGTTATAAACATGTTTGCAAATAAGGAACCATGCTGAAAAGTTTTAAGATAGACACATTGAAAATTTCAAAGTCTGTATACTTTTAAACATGTTTTAAAGAACTACCAACTCATCAACATTTCTATTCATCATTACTATGTTTTTCAACCCTTTTAACTCAATATTGTTTGCAAAACTATATTTCGTCTAAGCCTGAGTTGTGCTACTCTGAATCTCTCAAGGCCTAGGTAGGATGTATCCTGAAAAGTTCATAAAAGCCTGCAAAGGAATATTCTCTAGCACCACAAAAAAATCAGCCACCCAAAAGTCAAAAGCAGAGCATATTTAAAAGGCACAAAGTCAGCAGACTGACTAGCTTTAGCCAAGAAACATTACAGTATAGAAGAATCAGTTATATATTTAAAAAAACAAAATACATTTTAGAGTCATCTGAAAAGGTTCAAATTTCATTTATCATTAATACAAAAGGAAATGGAGTGTTATATTTAACTGCCCCTGAAATAAGGTACTTCCTTTAAAATTTTTTTAAAAAAAAAAATTACTTTTAGTCTTCCAGACTTTCCACTATTCTCTTGAAGCATTTTTGTTCTAATAGTTTTTATATATTAACATTTTAGGAGAGTCTTGGTGTGGTGCTGTAGGATAAGCACTGAACTGCTAACTGCAACGTTGGTGGTTCATACCCACCAGTCAGTCCTTGAAAACCCTATAGAGTACTCGGTGCTATGAGTAGGAACCAACTAGATGGCACTTAACATTTTGGGAGATTTTGGTATCATCACAATTTGTTTGAAATTTTAATATTCAGATAATATTTTATATAACTATTAGTCTGAAGTATTTTTACATATAGAACATTACCTCCCCATGGTTTTTAGCTTGTTTTGTTTTCTTCTTTCTTACAAAGCAAAGGTCTTCTACAACAGTATCAAAGTAGTTGTTTTTAACATGCATTTATTTTTTATAGCATTAAGTAAAGAAAAAAGAGAACGTGAAAAAAGCAAATAATTTTGGTGTGGGTTTTGGAGTCTCCCAAGAATTCTCTAGAATGAATATTTGTCTTATACCCTGCATTTCTGGTTACCCTGCCAGAACTGAAAAGGGAGATCATAATCACAGCTGACAATGAAATGAAGGAAAGGCCACTGGTATAGATATCACGATCTTGCTTAAGCAAAAGAGATGCCCTTATTTATAAAAGATAAAGAAATTATAACAGATCCACACATTTGGAGATTGTATTTCTAACAAAAGATTTGGCAGTTGGTTTACCAAGGAGGAGAGGTACCTATTTCTTGCGCTTTCTTGCAGTCTGCTTCCTTTAATTATGAGTATGGAACTTTGACCACTAATTTTGTGCTTTGACTTCTTCTCAGACTACTAGTAGAACTTCAAATATTATTATGGGGAATGCTAGACTGGATCCTGATACAATAAATTAAGATTACCTAACTTCAGAAGTGAAATATTTTGAAAGAGTCTCTAAGAGAGCACAGCTTTTGGCAGAAAAAAGAATACCTCAGCTGCTAATTGAAAGGCTAGTGCTTCAAACCCACTAGCTGCTCCATAAGAGAAATACGTGGCAGTCTGCATTCATAAAAATTACAACTTTGGAAACCCCATAGGGCAGATCTAATTTATCCTACAGGGTCAATATGAGTCAGAACCAACTCAATTAGCAATGGGTTTGGTTTTGGTTTTACAGTCCCTTTGAAGCTCATGAAATTACATTTAGGGCCTTCTAGACACTTAAAAATAAAATATTTAGCACTTTTTCAAATATGCTGAAAACACTGTAAGTGGCAAAATTAATAATATCATTCAGGTTCTTCAGTAGCATAATTACATTAAGGATATTGAGACCTTCCAGTTAATACTTTAAAAATATGTATAAGGTTTTTGTTTTCCACAATTATAAGTTGGTAATTTGAGGAAAGAATATAGAAGCAGTTGAGTTCAATAGGAGCCCTGGTAGTGCAGAGGTTAAAAATGATTGGCTGTTATCCAAAAGATTAGCAGTTTGAACCCATTGGTCACTCTATAGGGGAAAAAAGATATGGCAGTCTGCTCCCATAAAGATTTACAGTGTTGGAAACTGCACTGTCCTATAAGGTCATTATGAGTCAGAATCAATTTGACAGAAGTGGGTTTGGTTTTAACAGGTTCATTGTTCAAATTAATTTTGTTTCTAAAATGGAAGAGTTACTGATTTGGATACAATATGCTGCTGGTAAGGAAGGGACTGCTATTTACTATTTGTTGAGCTCACCTTTGACTTGAAGTACTGGTATCTGCTTTTGTAAAATACTCATTTAGAACTACATCACTTTCTCAATGAAATTTTCTTTTTAAGCTGGGAACCTTTTCTGTAAGTGGCTGTTTTCAGTTTATAATTGGAACTGGTCTTTATATCAGGGTCTCTCAACCTCTGCACTACTGACATTTTGGGAGGGCAATTCTTTGTCTTGAGGGCTTTTCTTGTGCTCTGTATGTTTAAAGCATCCTTGACCTCTACCCATTAGATGCCAATAACAATACCCCAGTTGTGACAACCAAAAATGACTCCAGGCATTGCCAAATAACAAGCAAAATTGTCCCCCCCTTCTCCGTCACATTGAAACCCACCATGATGCTGTTTTTACAGGTGCTTTATTATTCTGTGATCTTAAGGATGAGGGTTCCACTTCAGGACACTAACTTTAAAACACAGATCTTCTGGGTTGAACTCTTATTTCCTAAAGAATATTATCTATGGGGAATCAGGAGCTAGGAATAGGAAGATAGTATACATGATTTTTATTATTTCTCCTTTGCTTAATTTTGGAACTTTTACCTCAAATAAAGAACACCGTTTAAAACCTATTAAACTCATAGTTCTTTTTTCCATTAATTCTATTAATTGGCAAATATGGTCTCTCTTCTACTGCTCACAACATTTAATAAGAACAGTCTCTTCTTGTATTTGATTTTGGAGTTCTACTGACTTTCTGTAATCACTTTAAAATAAAATAGCATCTTTCCCCCCTGCCCTTTATGCAGAAAACCATCCTTCAAGGTTTATAGAGTCCAGTAAAATGGATCTAGTATATAGTGTGTTTTCTTATCATACATGTTAGGATTAGCAACTAAGTGTACCTCTTACAGATTCATACTTTTTATTAAGATTCCTACTGAGCAAAAAGCTTGGTAGACAGAGGTTAGAATATAAAGAATACAGATATAAGAAGGAATCCATATTCTTTGAGTACCTATCCTATACTCAAGTTTAGGGCTCAACCCCCCAAACGGGGATCTATTTTAAATACTAACATTAAAAATTACAAACTTACATCATTTTCATTTCCTGTTTTCCATTTCTCCCCTATCACCACAAATATGCCAGTGATATAGGAAAAACTCTACAATCTTTAGGCATTCCAAATTATTTGTTTTCATTAAAAAGAGAGACTATGTACTAAAGTGCTTTATCTCTCTGAACCACATTAGTACATTATAAAAACTGAAAAAAAAAAAAAAAAAAAAAGCAAGTTCTTGTAAGGGAAAAATAAGCTATAAAAAAATTTAGGCTGCTATTATTATTAAAAAATTTTAACGAAGAATCAAGAAAAATCCATTCCCTCTTGTCTTTTTTTCTTCTTCATCTCTCCTTTTTATAAAAAAGAAAAGTGCAGTTAGAGAGATGGTGAATGAATCAATGGTAGCTGGGTAGAGGCACAGGAAAGATAATTGGCTGCTAGTGATAATGCACAAACATATGTCTCAAGAGTTCATCAGCTGAGGGTCTCAGCTTGGCCTCTACAAAAATCCGTTTGAGGAAATCGCGAGTATAGTCTGAGACATGGGGTGGCAGCTTTGGGTTTGTTGGCTGGGTAGCAATTTTAAAGATGGCAGCCATTGCTTCAAATTCAGCCCAAGGAGGCTTTTCAGTTAGCATTTCTACAACAGTACAGCCTACACTCCTGAAAAGAAATAAAACACATTACACAAATAATAACAAAATAAGAGCAAAATGGGTATATATGGATGCATTTAAACATAATTTTATTTCAAGTTTAAAATTTTATTAAAAGGTTGCAATTATATAAAATAAAATTAAAAAAATCAATGAAAATGAACTATAATTTAATGACTAACTATCATTCAACTCAAATGGTTAGGTGAAGAACATTACATATTTTAGAAATTTTGCTTTATATAATTCTCTCATCTGACATAAGATATCAATTTTTGTGTTTATTTAACAGAGAACAGAAGCATTAAAAATTCCCCATTTTCCTTTAGGTGCCTAAAATGAACATGTATTAAAATTTTCTTTTTGGTTGTTGTTGTTATGCGTCATGGAGTCAGTTCTGACTCATAGCGACTCTGTACAGGATTTCCAAGGCTGTAAATCTTTATGGGAGCAGAAAGCCTCATCTTTCACCCATGGAACAGCTGGTAGTTTTGAACTGCTGACCTTGAGGTTCGCAGCCCTATTTGTAACCACTACATTACCAGAGAGCCCCACCCACCTTTTCTTTTTTTCGGTAGGAAACAGAAAATAGCCATTTTATGTTGTAACTTAAAATTATTAGGCAATTAAGAATGAAATGAATTATAAGTGATTGGTAACAAAGATTAATGTCTTTTAAAGCTCTTAAGGGAAATAAAATGAAGATAGCTTCTCCTAGAGAAGTCTGCTTGAGATTAATTTTTCCTCAAGAATGGAAGATAGGTTCAAGGACTTTAAACAGCCCTAATTCTGACACCTCATTTCAATAGTAAAAAGTTAATTTATATCTTAATAAAAAAGTTAGTTTTTTATTAATAAAAATTTATTATCTTTTTATTAATAAAAAGTTAATTCATATTTTCCACTCCTTGGAAACCCTATGCAGGGTCACCATGAGTTGGAATCAACTCAATAGCACTTAATAACAATCAATCAAAAGGAGTCCAACAGTGGTAGGTTAAGCACTGGACTGTAAAGATGGTTTGAACTGAAAGGTCAGAACTGACTTGATGGTACTTAACAACAACAACAATTTCCATTCAGAAAGGAACACTGATAATGCAGTGGGTTAAGCACTGGACTACTAACAACAAAATCAGCAGTTCAAACTCAGTAATTTGTATTCTGGTGGAAATAGCAAGAAAGCAGGTAGTTTTCATGTATTTATAGCAACAAAACCTACCAGATATCTGCTTTTCTGCCATAGCCTTCTCCACTGATTACTTCAGGACTCATCCAATATGGTGTGCCTGTTACGGACTTCATTCCTGTCCCTGAGAGACAAATTGTCTGAAGCCGTTTGCTGGCCCCAAAGTCTCCTAGTTTGACATTGCCTGTTGAGTCTCGCAGGATATTTGCACCTAAAAATAAGAAACATCCTCACTTCATGATTTTTACTGGCAGTCTAGAATATGCTATATGAGAGCAATGTAGAGAATTAGTGGACTCTAAATCTATGTCCAAAATTAGGCTGTTTTATATCTTTCACAGTGTTCACGAAGTATCTGCTGCATGAATATTAACTGCTTTGAGTCAGCTGTATATGTTTCATGATCTAAGAAGAGTCCCCTGCTGAAAAAGACTAGACCAGATGGGACGCAATGGTCAGCAGTTCAAATACACTAGCCGCTGCTTGGAAACCTTATACAGGGCCGCTATGAGTCGGAACCGACTTGATGGCACTAAACAGCAACAACATTACTTAAATTCTTGGCGTCCTGGTGTGGCTCTGTGGGGTATGCATTGGACTGCTAACTGCAAAGTTAGTGGTTCAAACCCACCAGCTGCTCCTCAGAATCCCTATACAAGGTTGCTAAGAGTCAAAACAGACTCAATGGCACTTAACAACAATTGCTTAAATATCAGCTACTTTACATATTAAAGTTTTTCTTAATACTGGATTTTGCTTTATATTAACTTTATCTCAATTTTTATCTTATCTATATTTTCATTCTCTTCCAAGTAAGTTTTAAACTTATTATCTGCTTTTAAATTTCATTTAGTTTTAATAATTTTTTTTAAATTTTAGAACTGTTTTACATTTACAGAAGTATTACAAAGATAGTACAAGAATTTCTAAATACCCCTTACTCAGTTTCCCCTATTACTAACATTTTAGGAACATTTATCACAATTAATGAATCAATATTGATAATTTATTATTAACTCAAGTCCTTATGTTTATTCAGATTTTCTGATTTAAAATAAAAAATAACTTTTATTTTTAAAGTAGAAAATGTCCTTCAAGGTTTATCGATTCCAGTAACATGGATCTAGTCTATAGTGTGTTTGCTTATCATACTAAATATTATTAGCAACTAAATATACCTCTTACAGATTCATATTTTCTATCAAGATTCCTCCTGAGCAAAAAGCTTGGTAGACAGAGGTTAGATTTTAAAAAGTACAGATATAAGAAGGAATCCATATTCTTTGAATATCTATTCTAAACTCAAGTTGGGGGTTCAACCCCCAAAACACTTTGAGCTATAATCCAGTACAACTTTATTTACTTTATGAGTTGGGTTGTTCCAGCTTTGGCCATTGGGAGCTCATTTTCTTGGCTCCTGTGTCCCTTTGACAGGTCCCCTAAACCCCCATCATTGTGTTCACATTTGTTTGGAGGTGGTGCGGGGGGGGGGGGGGGGGGAAAAGTATTTCAGCACTCTTACTTTATGGCAATAAAAGATGCTCCAGGTTCATCCTGTATATTCCGTGCCCAAATTCTAGAGTCAGGCATTTCTCCAAGGAGCCCTGGTCCCTTTTACTGAAGACTGTTATTAGAAATCAAGATCCAGGAACTTAAGTTCAGATTTTTCTATTTTTATCCTTATTTATCATTTTTTCCCTAGAGATTATAAGTCTAGTTTCTGACTTAAAGAAATTGTATCTTGTTTTATTTTTAGTTTTTTCAATAATCCATATTTTAAGAACCTAATTTATTAACTAAATTTAATTTAAAACCTTTTCTTCCAACTCAAGTCTTCTGAAAACATAGCCATATTTTGTATTTTAAAGATAGGAGATTCCTCATTTGTTCTCTTCTCTTTGTTTCTTAATGGTTCTTAAGGAGAGTAAATAGTAAGAGAAAAATCTCCATTACAAATCAAAGAGAATGTAGACTTTTCATCCCACTGACCAATGAACTTCTATACTTGTCTTTGTGTTCCACAAAGCAAATTCTTCATCCTCTAAAACCTCTAAGACCTCAAAATACTCTCCATGAATGCCCTGAGGCTCCATTCACCCCATGCCATAATCCTTAGTGGTTCACTGCACAAGTGACTGTCTAAAACAGCACTACTTATCCCCTATTATTCAAAAAGAGTTCTAGTTAGGCACTGTCGGATAAGCACTGAACTGCAAAGTCGGTTTGAACTGCAAAGCCGGTGGTTCAAACTCACTAGCCAATCCTTGGAAACCCTATGCAGGGTCACCATGAGTTGGAATCAACTGAACAGCACTTAATAACAATCAATCAAAAGGAGTCCTAGTGTTGTACTGTACGTTAAGCCCTGGACTGCAAAGATGGCTTGAACTGAAAGGTCAGAACTGACTTGATGGTATTTAACAACAACTTCCATTCAGAATGGAGCACTGATGATGCAGTGGGTTAAGCACTGGACTACTAACAACAAAATTGGGAGTTCAAACTCATAAACTGCTCTGTGGAAGAAAGATGAGACTGTCTACTCCCTGTAAAGATTTACAGTCTCAGAAACCCTAAGGCGCAACACTTACAATGCCGTATAGGACTGAGATGGTGGCATTGAGAAATGGGCACTTATAAATAGACTTTGTTGTTGACCTTGCAGTTCAAACAGCTTTGTAGTCTGGCACATTAACCCACAGTGCCACACCAGGACCCCATAAATAGGCTTTGTTGTTGTTGTTAGGTGCCGTGGAGTTGGTTCTGACCCATCAGTGATCCTGTATAAGGTTTCTGAGGAGCAGCTGGTGAACTTTAACTGCCAACCTTACAGTTCAAACGGCTTTGCAGCCTGGCGCATTAACCCACAGCGCCACACCAGGACTCCATAAATAGGCTTTGTTGTTGTTGTGAAGTGCTGTCAGGTTGGTTCCGACCTAAATTAAAATAGAACCCCAAATAGCCATCTAAAAACACTAGCTATATTTAAAACTTAACTCCTTCCTTAGCTACATTCTGGGCGCATGGTAGTTAAGCACTAGACTGCGCCATTCTGTGGGAGAAAGATGAGGCTATCTGTTCCCCCTGCAGATTTACAGCCTCAAAAATCCTATACGAGGTAGCTGTGTCAGACCCAACTTGACAGCACTTAACAACAACAACTAGCTACGTTTCGTAATTAATCACTCCTTTTCAATCTCCAAAGCAGAACTTGTAGCTCAAATGAAGGGACCAGCTCTCTTCCTGTATACAAAGGTGAAATTAACAAACAGGAATAGTTGATATGGTCACTATATTTGAGATGTGAACACCCTAACTACTGACATGATCACCCTAACTACTGGAATGGAAAAACAATACAACAATGTCTGACCATAAGTTACTGGATCTTGATTTTCTTCCCTGCACCCTTAAGGACCCCAGGATACTTTCCAGTTGGGGAGGCAGGAAGATCTGGGAGATTTCCACATCCTGTCCCTCAGTGTATTGACACATAATAAACATTTTGCTTTTTGCTTTGCAGTCTGTCTTTAAGTATTGGCTAATTAAGTGGCAGTTGACAGCTGTTGCTACTTTGTGCCTTTGAGTGGGTTCCTACTCATAGGGTTTCGAGGTTGTAAATCTTTATGGGAGCAGAAAGCTTCATCTTTCTTCCTTGCATGGCTGGTGGATTAGAATTGCTGACCTTGTAGTTAGCAGCTCAATGAGTAACCAACTACACTACCAGGAATTTAGCAGCAGGTGACTAAGAACCCCTTTTTACAGTTACAGGGTCACTATGAGTTAGAATCAACTTGATGGTAATGGGTTTGGTTTGATTTTTGGTATCAGCCAAAACTTAAAGCGGACCCTGTCAAAAAATGTCATTGTTTCCAAAAGAGGTAAGTTAATGGGAGTTACTGGTTTTGAGCTGAGAAAGAACAGCTGAGAAAGAAAGTAGGTCTCAGACTGGGAGTACTATCTGCGGAGGAATCGCTAAAGCTGACAGTGTCAATACCTGTGTGAAGAAGGTGCTGAGGAGAAAAGAAAATGTGGGCCCAGGTTCCTGAGATAAGTTTTTATAAATTAATTTGGATAAATTAGAAATAGCTATTAAAGAGACTTTTCTAAAACACAAAAGGAGATCGAATAGTATATGTATTTAATATCCCAACTACAATCTTGCCCTAAATCATACAGCCAGCCACTCACCCTTTTGAAGCAAGTCCAAGATAGCATAATCAATAAAGATTTCAGTCAATACTGTTTTTAGTTATTGTTGAGCCGGTCCCTGACTCAGGGCAATCTTATTTACAATAGAACAAAATAGTGAATCTCCATGATCATTTGTATATCTGACTGTTGTGATCTATAGGGTTTTCATTGATTTTTCAGGAGCAGATAGTCAGAAATTTCTTCCTAATATGACTCTTAGTCTGGAAGATCCAATGGATCTTGTTCAGCAAAGCAACATACAAGCTAGGCCAGTAGTGGCTGTACATGAAGTGTATTGGGCTGGAATAAAACCTAAGTCTTCCTCATGAAAGGTGATAATTCTACCACTAGACCAGCACTGCCCCCATAATGTATCAATCCTGAAGATGAAGACTCTTACCATACCTAAGAACATGAGCAATTCCTAAGTATAAAATAATCAGAACCTAAAAAAAGTCTATAAACTGAGATTTGATATATTTGTCTTTTCTAAAATTTTCCTCTCATTTCTTTTATTCTTTGCAATTTATGAAGACACTGGATTACTCATAGATTTCTTATGGTCTAGATTTTGTTCATCTGTTCTATATATACTTTCTATACCTTGGTAGCTGAATATAGAGATATGATCAGATATAGATTTAATTTTCAGGGTGGGATGCAGGGAGGTAGAATTTCGTTGAGGCAATGGCATATTATACCAGTAAGGAAGTACGCAATGCCAGACTGTCTCTGCTTTAATTATGTCAGAAGTAACCACACACCTTGTCTCATTCTCAATGATGACAATCCCCTCCACGCAGTAACAGTTGCCCTACTTTCTCCCTGTTGTTCTTGTTTATATTCCACCACCTTCCTATCCCTTCTCAACTTTATCCTTAGGAAAATGTTGCCTTTTTGATTTTGATTGACCATTCCATGGTGAGCATACCTTGCTAGTGTTGTTGTTGCCCTACCCCTCATAAACCTACTTGGTTGAAAGCAAGTCCAAGTCTACTACTTGGTTGAAAGTTGGGCCACGAGGGTGAGTTCCTTTCCAGACCTGAAGGGTAGTCAAGGGCAATAGTCTCAGGTTCTTCCAGTTTCTTTTTGACCAGTAAACCTGGTCTAATTTTATTTTTTTAATAAGTAATTATGAGTTTTGTTCCACATTTTCTCCCACCCTATTCAGGACTCTCTAATGTTATCCCTTTCATAGAGTTGGTAGTAGCAGCTGGGCAATGTCTAGTTCTTCTGGCCTCAGAGACATGGAGATTGATGTTCACATGTTTCATTAGTCCAGCAGACTAATTGATTCCAAGCCTCTTCAATTCTTATCACTATTCTTTCTTCCACCAACTGAGACACCAATAGCAGCATCTTAGGTGGCTGCTCATGATCTTTCAAGATCCCAGGTGCTGCTCACCCAAGTATGATATGTTGTTGTTGTTAAATGCTGTCAAATAGATTCCGACCCATAGGGACCCTGTACAGGGTTTCCAAGGCTGTAAATCTTTACAGGAGCAGAAAGCCTCATCTTTCTCCCGAGGAACTGCTGTTAGTTTTGAACTGCTATCCTTGAGATTAGCAGCCCAATTCGTAACCACTATACTACCAGAGATATATTATGTGAACTATATTATGTCAGGAGTCCTGGTGTGGCGCTGTGGGTTAATGCGCCAGACTGCAAAGCCGTCTGAACTGCAAGGTGGGTGGTTCAAGCTCACTAGCTGCTCCTCGGAAACCCTATACAGGGTCGCTATGGGTCAGAATCGACTTGATGGCACTTAACAACAATAACAACAAATATTATGTCAACTAACTATGGTCCTGAGTCCTAAGCTGAGCAACTTATTGCCTTTGATATTTGACATTATCCAGGAAGTTTTCATCATTTTGCCTGCTGTATGCTCCACCACATTCATAGTTTATTTACAGAAAAGGTACAAATATGTACAAATATCCTCTTTCAAACTCATATATTTGTAAGACATATAAATATGTAAACATATATATCCCACTCTTCCTCCCTTATCCATTCAGCCTATGTCTCAATCCATCTATCTATGCACAGAACACTGTTGTTCCAAGATTATATATGTAGCACCAATTACCTTTATCCCCCCCTTTAGCCCATGCATACCTCCCTGTGTCAACACCTATCTTTATCATTCTTCTGCTATTATCCTTCTTCTTGTATATTGCCCTCCCAGTCACCTGAGTTAACATGTGTCTATCCTCTAGTGGCACTTCACACCACGACCCTCTAGTTAGTGAATTACTCCATCTTCCCTCCCATTCCTGGTAAGCATCAAAGAATGTTTCTTTTAGTATGAAAACCCTTTCTTAAGTTTTTACAAGAATGGTGTCATTCAATATTTGTCTTTCTGTTCTGTAGTTAATCACTAACACCTGTCTGCCTGAGATGGTAAATCTCGAGCTGAAAGACAACCTCCATTTTTTTAAAATTTCAAACTCACTTCTTGTTGTTATTGTTATTAGATGCTGTCAAGTCAGTTCTGATTCACAGTGTCCCTATATACAACATAATGAAACACTGCCCAGTCTTATGCTATCCTCACAATTGTTATTATGTTTGAGCTCACTGTTGCAGTCAAGGTATCAATTAATTTAGTTGAGAGTCTTCCTATTTTCACTAACCCTCCACTTTATCAAGCATGATATCCTCTTCCAGGGACTTGTTGTTGTTGTTGTTGTTGTTAGGTGCCATTGAGTTGGTACTGACTCATAGAGACCTTATGCAAAGCAGAATGAAACACTGCCCGATCCTGAGCCAACCTCACTATCATTGCCATGCTTGAGCCCACTGATGCTGCCACTCTGCCAATCCATCTCACTGGGGGTCTTCCTCTCTTTCTCTGACTCTCCACCTTACCATATAAGATATCCTTCTCCAGCGACTGGTCCCTCCTGACTAGTCCTAATAATGAATCTAAAGAAAGTGAGACAAAGTTTCACCATCATTGCTTCTAAAGAGCCTATACTTCTTTCAAGAGAGATTTTGTTTGTTTTTCTGGTAGTTCATGGTACTAGCAAGTCCCATTCTAGTATATGTGACCTGGCTTCTACAAATTCTACTCTCTCACCAGAAAACTAATTAGGTATGTTCTTACAGTAGACCTGGTATGGCACTGTGGGATAAAGCATTGGACAAGGTTGGTTTGAATCATGAGGTCAGTGGTTCAAAGTCACCAGCCGCTCCTTGGAAACCCTATACAGGGCCACTATGAGTCAGAACCTACTCGATGGTACTTAACAACAACAGTAAATGTTCTCACTGAATGTGGTCACAAATTAGTTGTTACAGAATGAAACCTCCAGGTATGCTTTGATATACCAAGTTTTAAGCACTCTCAAATTTTACGTATCTCCAACACTCGGTATTGTCTCATTTTATACATTTATTGCATGATCCCCAATACAGTTGAAGGTTTTGAGTTTGCACAAGTGAATTTAAATGGTCTAAAGGAGTCTAAGTGTGGCAATGTAAGATAAGTACTGGACTCTAACTATGAAGTCAGAGGTTCAAACCCACCAGCCGCTCCTTGGAAATCCTATATAGTGTTGCTATGAGTCAGAACCATCTAGGTGGCATATAACAAAAAAGTTCATCAAAGCTCAGTCTTGGGTTCTCTTATTCCTTTCTCTTTTTTGGCTCCCTAAATAATGACATCCATTTCCATGCCTTTAAATATGACCTCAACATACAGTATGTTGTTGTAATCATCATAAGCAAGTATTCATCATAAGAAAGGTTTCATTGTTTTCTAGGAATGTTAGGCATATTACAAGTATCATTTCACTTAATACTAACAAGAATTCCACGGCTTGAACAGTATTATCATCCTCATGTTATGAATATAAAAAAATGAAGCAGAGAGAGATTAAGTAATTTATTTACCCAAGGTTACACAATGAGAGACTGATAAAGTCTAGCTTGGAATCAGGAAGTCCATTGTCAGAGTTTCTACTGTTCAATGGAACATTGAGTCACTAAAAAGAGAATTTTCCCTCCTCTGGTAATTTAGAAGTATAAGGATTAATTTAAATGGTAAAATTTCTAACTATCTCACTCATACTAACAAAGAACTGTGTACTTTAAATAAAAATACCTCATTACTTACCTTTGATATCTCTATGAACAATCATGTTACTGTGCAAATAATGAACACCCTCTAGAATCTGGCGGGTGTATTTCCTGGTCACATTCTCAGTAAGAGCTCCATAAGCTTTTAACTGGTCCTTAACGGAACCCTAAGATAAAAGAAAACAAAACTATGTGGTTTGAAATGAAAGCTTTTAAAAAATCTTTAATATTAAAAGAGTACTAATTCACAACTGTGAGGCTGTAATTTTAGAGGGCATGTGTTCTTAGTAAGGACATTGTTGTTGTTGTTAAGTGCTATCGAGTCGATAAGGACATTAGATATTATGTAGTTCAACTAAAAACAATTCTGTATTTCCTAACTAGAACGGTGGAAGAGTTCTAGCTGAAGAAAGTCCTAAAGTTATTTGACTAATGCCCATGTTTCTACAATACATTTCTTACTCCTTACAACTGTTTTAAAAATTCTCAAGTTTTTTTTTTGCTTTGAATATACAATTTTTTCATACTCTTTCTTCTATGCACAAGCAAGGGGTCTTCAAAAAGTTCATAAAATGTATACTATGAAAAAAACTATGCAATGGATTTCATATATATATATTTTTGTTTTTGCATCAAAATAAACTCATATTAACTTGTTAACATATCTGAACAGGATCTAGTTTGAGGCATCAGTTTGAAAAAATCCCTATTAAAATAAAATTTGCTTATTATGAGACTGTTTTGAGAAAGCGAACAAAAGCGTTAGCAGAAAAATGCCCGGGAAAGCTTCACCAGGGTCCTTCTCCACCAAGACAATGCTCTTGGCTTATTTCTCTCACAAACCAGGGCAATTTTTCATGAGTTGTGATGAAAAATCATTAGACATCTACCTTACAATGCTGATTTGGCCCCTTCTGATTTCTTTTGTTTCCTAGGACTTCATTTTGCTAGGATCAACCCTCAACACTCATGGAAGCAGCAGTCAAGAAATCAAATGATGTATTGCATTTGGCAAATCTGCTGTAGAAGACCTCTTTAAAGGTCACTTTGGCCTCTTTGACCTCTTCAAAGATGTCACTTTGAGGACTAAGGTGTGCCTGACCCAAGCGATGGTATTTTCAATAATCTCACATGCATGCAAAAGTTGGACAGTGAATAAGGAAGACTGTAGAAGAATTGATGCATTTGCATTATGGTGCTGGAGGAGAATACTGAAAGTACCATGGGCTGCCAAAAGAACAAACAGATCTGTGTTGTAAGAAGTATAGCCAGAGTGCTTGGAAGCCAGGATGGCCAGACTTCATCTCTCATACTTCTGACATATTATCAGGAGGGACCAGTCCCTGGAGAAGGATATCATGTTGGGTAAAGTGAAGGGTCAGAGAAAAACAGGAAGACCATCAACGAGATGGATAAGCACAGTGGCAGCAGCTATGGGCTCAAATGTAGCAACAATTGTGAAGTTGGCCCAGGACCAGGTAGTGTTTAATTCTATTGTGCATAGGGTTGCTATGAGTCAGTACAGACTTGATGGCACCTGACAACAACAACAAAACAATATTTAAAAAAAAAAAATCTTTTAAGGGCACCCATTCCATTTTTCTTGAGTTATAGTGTTGGAGGAGAATATTGAAAGTATCATGGGCTGCCAAAAGAACAAACAAATTTGTGTTGGAAGAAATGCAGCCAAAGTGCTCCTTGGAGGCCAGATGGTCAAACTTCACCTCTCATACTGCAGACATATTGTCAGAAGGGATCAGTCGCTAGAGAAGGATATCATGTTTGGAAAGGTGGAGGGTCAGTGAAAAAGAGGAAGACACCCAACGAGATGGATGGCAAAGTGGCAGCATTAATGGACTAAAGTGTGGCAAAAGTGTGAAGTTGGCCCAGGACCAGACAGTGTTTAGTTCTATTGTGCATACGGTCGCTATGAGTCAGTACCGACTCGATGGCACCTAACAAGAACAACAATTCCATTTTTCTTAAGTTAATAATGTAAAGAAAGAGTGCCTTGACATGGCTAAATTTCCAAGGCCTTCAGTTTTTTTTGTTGCTGTTAAGTGCCCTTGAGTTGATTCTGACACATAACAACTCTGTATAGGGCTTCCAAGGAGCAGCTGGTTGGTTTGAATCACCAACCTTGTAGTTAAAAATACAGTGCTTATCCTACAGCACGACACCAGGACTCCTCAGTTTTTTGTTAATTGTTCGAGTTGATTTGACCTATAGCAACTCTGTATAGGATTTCTGAGGAGTAGCTGGTGGGTTTGAACCTTCAACCTTGCGGTTCAAACTGACCTTCCAGTCCAGGGCATTATCCTGTAGTGCCGCACCAGAACTTCCCTCAATTCTTTAAGGATATGTTCAATGGCTGGTATGATTGCTTACAAAAGTGTCTGAATTTGATGGAGTTGTGATGCTGTGGGATAAGGCATTAGATGGCAAGGTTGGTTTTAACTGCAAGGTTGGGGTTCAAACTCACCAGCTACTGCTTGGGGTCACGATGGGTCAAATCGACTTAATGGCACTTAACAAGAACATATTAATAAATAATTTTTTTTTTTATTCCATTTGTACACTAACTTTTTGAAGTCCCCTTGTATATCCTACTTTGATTTTGTTTTGTTCTTTTTCTATTTTAAAGTGTTTTATTGATAACTGCTAATTGAGAATGAGTGGATATGATCATAAAATCATAACATGTACAAGATTTTTATGTTTTCTCCTTTAAATACTCACACTCCAGTTCAAGACATGAAGAAAACATAAAAGTGGAATTTCTAATTTTTAAAGCATATTATTTTTATTTATTTTTTTAGCCAGGATGTGATGCAATCTCAGAAAATGTGGAGTTAGACACAGGCACCTTAATTTTTGAAAAAGCCTCCCTAATGTTTCTGATGTGAAAAATGTGATTAATATTCAAATTTTAGAAGATGATAATGAAATGTTTCCTCAGGGACAAAATCATCTTTATAAACAAAAGAAAATAAAACCAAACTTTCTGCTGTTGACAGCAGATATTCTGCTTTGATTTGGGAGTTTTCTTACCTATGGAACAAAGTATTTTAATGAAATTCCCTGATGAAAATTAATCCACCAGCAACTTTTCTTTCACCCAAGCTGCAAATCTTTACTTTCCTGTCAGGAAACCAGGTTTTCTAAATTTGAAATTCAATCTGGTGAACTTATATCCCATTGCTCAATAAGAGGGGGAGGGCAGGGTTCAATCAATAATCTTAAAATTAGCCAATATATTTCTCTATATTTCTTTCTTCTCTGTATAAGAAGGTAACACTGGTGGCACAGTGGGTTACACGTTGGGCTGCTGCACTAGGTCAGCAGTTAGAACTTACCAGTTGCTCCTCAGGAGAAAGATGAGGCTATCTGCTCTGTAAGATTTAGAGCCCTCAAACCCTTAGTGTGGCACTGTAGAATAAGCACTGGACTACTAACCACAAGGCCTGTGATTCAAACCTACTAGTTGCTCTTTAAGGAGCTCTGGTAGCATAGTGGTTATGAACCGGGCTGCTAACTTCAAGGTTGGCAGTTTGAAACTACCAGCTGTTCCGTGGGAGAAATATGAGGCTTTCTGCTCCCCTAAAGATTTATAGCCTTGGAAACCCTGTGCAGGGTCACTATGAGTCAGAACTGACTCCTCGGTACTTAACAAAAGTTGCTCTTTGGAAACCCTATACAAGGTAGCTGTGAGTTGGAACAAACTCAACAGCACTTAACAACAATAACATAGGGTCACTGAGTTAGAATGGATGCAATGGCAGTGACTTTAGTTTGGTTTTGGTGGAACAATGGTTAAAGCACTCAAATGCTAACGCAAAAGTAGGAAGTTCAAATCCACCAGCCATTATGCATGAGATATGGCAGTCAACTTCCATAAAGATTAGTCTTAGAAACCCTAAGAGGCAGTTCTATTCTGTTCTATAGGGTAGTTATGAGTAGGAATCAATTTGACGGCTCTACGGTTTCTTCCCTTTATTAGTTCCATTGTACCTAGTGTGTACGGTGTAGATGCTACAGTACTTGGTTAGTGAAAGGGTGCATTCTATAACAGGAGCCCCAACTTCATCTTTAGCCCTAACACCACCTTGAGTCTTCATGTAAGTTCATATGTCATTTGAGTTCTTTCTGACCATTAAACCAGTGATGTGGCTATGCTCAGACAATCAGGCAAGCCCAGGGAAAGACAGTTTTCCCTCAGGCTTGCAGAGAGAAATGGGAACTTGCCTGGGCATACAAATTCTTAAGAATTTATTAAAAAGCTGGCATCCTGGTGACTATGACCCAGGATCTTATGATTATCCATAGCTTGTCATGCTCCACATAGTCAAAAGCCTTTGTATAATCAATAAAGCACAGATAAACATCTTTCTGGTATTCTCTGCTTTCAGCCAAGAACCATCTGACATCATCAATTATATCCTTCATTCCATGTTCTTATATGAAACTGGCTTGAACCTCTGGCAGTTTCCTATAGATGTACTGTTGCAACAGTTTTTGAATTATCTTCAGCAACATTTTACTTTCATGTGTTATTAATGATATTGTTTGATGATTTTCGCATTCCATTGGGCCACTTCTCCTTGCAATGGGCATAAATATGGATCTTTTCCAATTAGTCGGCTAGGTAGCTGCCTTCCAAATTTCTTAGCATAGATGATTGAGTGCTTCCAGTGCTTCATAAGTTTGCTGAAAGATTTCAATTTGTATCCCATCAGTTACTGAAACCTTGTTCTTTACAATGGTACTGAAGGAAGAAGTCCAAGAAGTTTTCATTGGATTTCTTTCTTTAGTACCATTGGCTCTTAATCATAAGCTACCTCTTGAGATGGTACAGCGACTCTGTATAATGTTTCCATCTTTTTTTGATGTTTTCTGTGTCATTCAATATTTTGCCCATTGTTGTTGTTAAGTGTCATCGAGTTGGTTCCGACTCATAGTGACCTTGTATAGTGTTTCTGAGGAGCGGATGTTGCACTGAATCTTTCAATGTTTCAAATCGAGGCTCAAACTTTTCCTCAGTTCCGTCAGCTTAAGTTATGCTGAGTGCTTTCTTCCCTTTTGTTTTTTTAACACCAAATCTTTGTATATTTCATTATAATACTTTGTCTTCTCAAGCTGTCCTTTGAAATTTTCTGTTCAGTCTTTAATTTCTTAATTTCTTCCATTCACCTTAGCAACTCTACACTAGAGAACAAGTTTGAGCCTCTTCTGACATCCATTTTGTTCTTGTTTTCTTTCTTGTCTTCTTAATGACTTTTTGCTTTCTTCCTGTATGATCTTCTTGATGTGATCCCACTGCTTCTCTGGTCATCAGTCATTAGTGTCTAATGGATCAAATCTATTCTTGAGATGGTCTCTAAATTCAGGTCAGATATATTCAGTATCAGATTTTAGCTATCATGGATTTGTTTTTAATTTTCTTCAGCTGCAGTCAGAACTTGTATATGAGCAACTGATGGGTGTGATATACACAAGGTCATATTTGGCTCTTGTATCATTGTTTTAAATTTCTTCAGCTTCAGCCTGAACTTGCATATGAGCAATTGATGGTCTGTTCCACAGTATGCCCCAGCCTTGTTTTAGCTGATGATATTCAGCTTCTTCCCACACATGTATTCAACCTGATTCCTGCTGTCAGCTAAACTGCCAAAGTCACTGAGACAATTCCAGGAAAGCAAAGAGAGGCAGCTTTGTGCTCAGTAATTTGAAAGTGGATTAAGACCACTCCCTGGGGAAAGGCAGTCTTCTTCTTAGAAACGTACCTGAGTGTGCTCCTTAATGAAAATTGGATACCAGGGCCACATAGTCATGAGTTACACCTCAAACAATATGGTCAGTGGGTCCCAGAACCAATCCCATAAACTTTTCTAATCTGCATTAGTCTCCTTCCTGAGTTTCTAGTTTGTAGTCCAGCCAGTGACTAACAAATTGATCTACCCAATTGTAGTGTTATGACACAATTACTCTGTCCCCTGTAAATCAGCCTCATGGATGTGAATCCTTTGGACACCATTATGGCCCCATGCTGATGACAGTCTCCTTCATCTGGATGACTTGTTTTGTTTTTGTTTTATTTAAGGCTTAATAAAGATATCTTTATAAAATACAGTTGAATCTGGGGTTTTTAATCCCCTAGAATGCCTTGTACATTCAATTCTAATAAGCATTTTCCTTACACCAAAGCCCCGCTGCCATCAACTCCAACTCATAGTGACAGTAGAGAATAGTGCAGAACTGCCCCATATAGTTTTCCAGGCTGTGTAATCTTCATGGAAGCAGAATGCTTGTAGGATTCTGAACCACAGACTTTTCCATTAGCAGACAAGCATTTCAACCATGGATCCACCAGGACTCCTTAAAGACTCATACGTTAAAATTAATTTTTAAAATTGTCTAAAAAATTATAGAAATGTATGTATATTTAAATGAATTTCCAAGGAGCAGATATGCTACAAATCATAAAAGTAATATCTGAGATTTAACACAATTTGAAAATTACATTTTGTAACTACTAATAAACTTACTGTTTCAAGCAAGGATTATCAATCCCAGCTAAAAACATCAGATGATGAATGAAAAGGAATTCACTTTCTGATCTTTGGGAAAAAACGTAAATTTACAGTAGAGGAATCAGGATGACAATCATCCCAATCTAGCAGTCAACCTTAGCATAACTAACAGTGGGACAACCAGAAATTGAATATTTCCTGAAGTAATGTAACATAAATGTACAAAACAGCATCCATGATATATTCTAATAAAAACACATTTTGATTTTAAATCTAATTTAGACTTTTAATGTAACTTGCAATTTACAGGAAATGCTGAGGATAAAGGAACAAATTAAGCTACACCATGAGGATGTCATTAGACAAATCCCTAAGATGAGACTGACAACAGAAAAACTAGCTCTTCTTTTTGTCTAATCAATGTTATACACAAATTGACTATTCTATCATAAAAACACAATTGAGGGACATAACAACTAAATGCAGTATGTAGCACTGTACTGCATCCTGGTTTTAACACACAAGTTATAATGGATATTTTAAAGACATTTAGAGATATCTAAGTATGGACTACTGTGATGTTTGTAACCTATTTTAGAATACTTTAGCATTTAAAAACAAAAATGATTAAAAATTATGAAGTCAGATGAAGAAGATAGGAAATAGAATTATATTACCAAACTGGAATTTGAAACTCTTCAAAAATGTTGTGAAATAGGGTTAACATTTCATAATAAAAGTTTTTAAAATTGTTTTTCCTTTCTCAACTAATAGAATAGAATATGTCAATTTAAAATAGAATATGTCTATTTTCAGAAGATTTAGTAACATACCCCTGGCATATATTCCATAAAAATGGAAAGTGTTTTTTCCTGGGGATCCCTCAAACAGCCATAATACTGAACAATTCGCTCATGCAGCAAGTTTTTCAACAACTGAATTTCACACTCAAGTGCACTCACTTCCTGAAAGACAGAATGCACTATTAAGTCCTTGCAACACTTCTAGAAAAATAAAACAATTCCAACTTCACAAATCATCAAAGTGATATCATTCTGAAATTTTTCTTTCTAAGGAATAAACATTTTAGCACCTTTAAAATAACATTTATAACAATTTCTCATATGTTAAATATTGGGAATTTAACTGATATACAGAAAGAAAGATCCACAGTTAAAAACAAACATTAACTATTTACTTATTTGAAATAATTTGTATTTATATGTGTTATATATTTATTTTAGTAAAAATGCTTCTTATAATGTGACAAAGCAGCTTGTGCAGTGATTCTTACCTTGCTGGTCTCAGGGCTATCAGGGTCAAACTGAACTTGTTTAACAGCCAATTCTCTTCCTGTATCGACGTCATAACAGAGGTAGACCCTGCCAAATGCTCCCTGGCCCAGCAGTTTGCCCAGTCTCCAGTTGGTTGGAGCACGAGGTGCTGAGAAAGAACACTTTCTTAAAATGGAATAGTCAGATGGCATACAAGTAATTACGGACAAAATAAGAATATTCCATTGGAGATACCCTTAATGGGACATGCTTTAATATAAGGGGAAATCATCATCTGAATTCATACATAATATTAGCCACCATCTTTCAAAATTATTTTTCTTCTTCAGTCAATGTTCTAAGAATTCTAAATCCAAAGCTGATGAATATCTTCATGACTCATTCTTTACCAATGATTTTACCCCGTTTACTGAATCTAAGATTGCAGTGATTGTAACATATACTACTTCAGACATTTACTGCAGAAATATATGTAATTAGTTTTTCATCTTCTGGAAAGAGTATCATCCCAATCATAATAACATGAGAAAGTGAAATAATCTACAAAATCATAATTTTCTTTAAACTACCCAAAAGTTTCCACCACTTGTCTATCAGTTTGTTGTACTGTGGTGGCTTATGTGTTGCTGTGATGCTGGAAGGTATGCCATTAGTATTTTAAATATCAGCAGGGTCAACCATAGTGACCAGGTTTCAGCAGAACTTAGACTAGAGTAGGAAGAAGAAGAGGTGTGGGACCCCTTCTGAAAGATTAGCCACTGAAAACCTTATATATTTCAGTGAAACACTGTTTCATATAGTGCTGGAAGATAACCCACTAAGGTTGGTAGACACTCAAAATACTATTGGGAAGAGTTGCCTCCTCAAAGTAGAGTTGACCTAAATAATGTGGATGAAATTAAATTTTGGGGACCTTCATTTGCTAATGGGCACAACTCAAAGTGAGAAGAAACAGCTGAAAAACGATGGGAGGTGGGGCTTGATGGTGGATGAGGCAGAATTCCAAGATATACCCAAGGAAGTTCTTTGGACTGAGACGAGACAGTTTCAAACATCCATTAATAATCACAATGTGTAATGCATGAAGTACAAATCTAGGAAAATTGGAGCCATCAAAAATGAAATGGAACACATAAAGATTGATACCTTATGCATTGTGAGTTGAAATGGACAGGTACTAGCTATTTTGATTTAGATAATCATATGGTTTACTATGCCAGGAGCAACAAATTGAAAAGAAATGGAGATAGGAGAATACCCATACAAAGAAGATCAATTATATGACTATTATTCAAATTTACACAACAACCACGAAAGCCAATTATGATGCTATTGAAGATTTCTATCAAAGTAATTAGTCTGAAATTGACCAAACATACCATTAAGATCCACTGACAATTATTGGTATGTGAAAGTTTGAAACAAAGAAAAAGAATCTGAAGGGAAATATGGCCTTTGTGATAAAAATGACGCTAGAAATGGGATCATGAAATTTTGCAAGACCAATGAATCACTCATTGAAAATGCCTTTTTAAACAGCATAAATAGATAATGTGTACCTGGACCTCACTAGATGAAATATACAGGAATAAAATGGACTAGATCTGTGTGAAAACAAGATGAATATCATCAACCAAAACAAGGGATCAACTATGGAACAGACTATCAATTGCTCAGATGCAAGTTCAGGCTGAAGCTAAAGAAAATTAAAACAAGTCCAGGAGAGCCAAAATATGACCTTGAGTATATCCCAACTGAATTTCGAGATCATCTCAAGAATACATTTGATGCATGAGACATTAATGGCAGAAGACATATAGGAGCTGTGGGATGATATAAAGAACACCATATATGAAGAAAGCTACACTGAAGACACTGCAGAAAAACAAGCTTCCAGGAATTGACAGAATACAAATTTAAATGTTTCAACAAACTAATACAGTGCTGAAGGCACTAACCTGTCTATGCCAAGAAATCTGGAAGACAGTTACCTGGCCAAATGATTAGAAGAGATCCTAATCTGTACCCATTTCAAAGAAAGGCAATGCAACGGAATACGAAAATCATAGAACAATTTCATTAATATCAGTTGCAGGTAAAATTTTGCTGAAGATAATTCTAGTCAATACCAGAAATTCAAGCTGAATTCAAAAGAGGATGTGAAATGAGGGATATCATTGCTGATGTTGATGGATTTTGGCTGAAAGCAGAGAATATTAGAAAGATGTTTGTTGTTAAATGTAGTCGCGTTTGTTCTGACCCATAGTGACCCTGTATAGGGTTTCTGAGAAGCAGCTGGTAAGTTTGAACCACAGCCTTGTGATTCAAACTGACTTTGCAGTCCAGTGCATTAACCCACTTGTCTTTTATTCACTATAACAAATGATGGATAACAGTGTGAAGAACAAGAATTTCAGAATACTTATGCTCATGAGGAAACTGTACATAGACCAAGAGGAAGTCATTTGAAAAGAACAAAAGGATTAAAATCAGGAAAAGTGTGCCAGGTTGTATCCTTTTGCCATACTTATTCAATCTGTATGCTGAGCAAATAATTAGAGAAGCTTGATTATATGAAGAACAACATGACATCAGGATTGGAAGAAGGCTCCTCAACAACCTATGATATGCAGATGATACAACTTTGCTTGCTGAAAGTAAGAGGAGTTGAAATACTTACTGATGAAGATCAAAGACTACAGCCTTCAGCATGTATTGCACCTCAGTGTGAAGAAAATGGAATACCTCACAACTAGAACCAATAAATAACATCATGATAAACAGAGAAAAGACTGAAGTTGTCAAAGTCTTCAACACATGGAAGCAGCAGTTAAGAAATCTAAGGACATACTGCATTAGATAAATTTGCTACAGAAAGACCTATTCAAAGATGTCACTGTGAAGATTAAGATGCACCTGACCCAAGCCATACTTTCAATTGCCTCATCTGCATATGAAAGATGGACAAAGACTAAGGAAGACCAGAGAAGAATTGATGCATTTGAATTATGGTGCTAGCGAAGAAAACTGAAACTACCAGGGGATATCAGAAGAAAAACAAATCAGTTTTGGAAGAAGTACAGTCAGAGTACTCTTCAGAAGCGAGGATGGTGAGATTTTGTCTCTTGTACTTTGGGCATGTTGTCAAGAAGGACCAGTACCTGGAGAAAGAAACCAGCTTGGTAAAGTGGAGGGCCAGCGATAAGAAGATCCTTAGTGAGATGGATTGACACAGTGGCAGCAACAACAGGCACAAATAATTGTGAGGGCACAGGAGTGGGCAGTTTTCCCTACTTTCATACACAGCATCACTAAAAGTAAGAATTAACTTGATGGTACCTAATAACAACAATCCAAAAATTGAACCTGCAGGGCAACTGACTTGGAATCTAAGAAAAGGCATACTGGAGGAAGAGCATGATCACTGAGAAAGCTTATCTCACTGAGAATCACTGTGCTGGACACTGGGCTGACCTAAAATAAGATCAAAGATGGCCCACATAAACAGATAGCACTCCCCTATGCCAGGCTAATAAATAATAGCAATATATTGTGAGGGAGGGTCAAGGATACAGAGATAGACCCTATCAGAGGAGATGGCACACAAGAGTCTAAATGCTGAAAGTAGGAGCAGGCTTATAGAGAACAAAAATTATGTAAGCATACTCCATCCAAAATACAAGATCATGCTAGGAGAATTTGAAGTCAGTGGTATGGGTAAGTACTGGACTTCTAACCACAAGGTTGGTGATTCAAACCCACCAGCTGCTTCTCAGAAACCTTATACAGGGTCACGAGTCTGAACTGACTCAATGGCATTTAACAACAAGAGACCATAGCATCAATAAAATCCAAACCAAATTCAAGTCTACACCTGTTTAACTCACCTCCCACAATAATGACTTAGAAGAATAAGAAAAGGATCTACAAGATGAGTCAAAAATTATCTGCACTCTGGCTATATTAAATCACCTGTCCATGTCTAAGGCTGACGACAATATTGAGCATGCTTATGAAATGATTCTGCCAATTATGTGAATTATGTGGCAAATCATTTGCAAATCAGCCATGACACTGCCTATGAAATAATCCACGAGAGACTTGGGTTTTGAAAAGTTTGTGCGGGATGGGTACCAAAACTTCTCATGGAAGAGCATAAAAAGAAGCATTTGGACATCTGCAAACAAAGTTTGGACTGATACTGAAAGGAAGGCAAAAGTTTCTTTAAAAAATCATTACTGGTGATGAGACCTGGATTCATTACTATGAGTCTGAGAGTAAATGGCAGAGTGTTGAATGGCAACATCCTCAATTGCTGACCAAGGAAAAATTCAGAAGTCAACCATTAATTGGAAATTGATGTTCACAGTTTTCTGGGATTCTCAAGGGCCAGTAATGGAAGGAACACTATCAGGAAAAAGGTTTATCAATCAACAGTGCTCATTACAGTGAGATGCTAACTGAAAAGCTGAAGCCTAAACTGTGGATTAAATGTAGAAGACTGCTATCCAAGGACTCATGATCTTGTATGACAATGCACGTCTACACATCTCCGCCTACACTGTTAACATTCTGCAAAATTTGTTTTGAGGTGTTAAAGAATCTTCCCTATAATCCTGATCTTGTTCCACTGCACTTACACCTGTTTGGTTCCCTGAAAGCAGCCTTTTGAGGATAAGTACTCACCTCTGATGAAGAAATGAAGACAATGGTGAATTTGTGGCTCACATCTCAGCCTAAAACATTTTTAGTAAGGGAATATGAAAGCTTGTTGACAGATGGACAAAGTGTATTGAAAAACAGAGATTATGTTGAAACATGATGTATTGTCTTTTCTAAAAGTAGATTAAAATAAATTCTACAGCCAGAGTGTAGATAATTTTTGACTTACTATTGCATTTCTAAGCTTAAACACTATTTACCTTGGCCTCCCCTGTCCTATGCACAGTATTGGCATGAAATATAAAATTATAAGACACACAAAATGGTAAAGAAACAAAACATCTAGTAAAGAAGTGACTTAGATATTTGAACTATGAGACAAGTAATTTAAAATAAGTATGACCAACATATTAAAGATTCTTGTGGAAAAGTCAGACAATGTACATGAATAGGTAGAAAATTTCAATAAAGAGATGGAAACTGCAGGAAGAATCACATAGAAATGCTCCAAATTAAAACAAGAAAATACAGTTTGAAAAAAAATGTATATATAATGGTGGTTATGTGCCGTGGAGTCAGTTCCGACTCATAGCAATCCTGTACAGGGTTTCTGAGGCTATAAATCTTTACAGGAGCAGAAAGCCTCATCTTTCTCCGGTGGAACAGCTGGTAGTTTCGAACTGCTGACCTTGCGGTTAGCAGCCCGATTAGTAACTACTATGCTACCAAAGCTCTCTCTCTCT